AGTCCCCATAATGCTCTGATATTCTTGGAATTTTTTGAAAATGTTACTTTCTCAGGAATGGGTCTTCATGCTTCAGGTAATAGTTATCCTTAAGTGAATTTATTTAAACTTTAATTGCTTCAGGGAACAGCCGAGTTGACTGAAAATTTATTTTCCAATGCAGAGTATGTAACTGCACCTTTGATCTTCCAGACAGTTTTGCAAGCATTGTTTACACAATGCTAATTATACACTAGAGTGTGTAATTTAATAGAAAAAAGTATGTACAGAATAATGAAAAAAAATTGAAATAATTTCTTTTTTTGTTCATAATGTTCAGTATTTATATCATACAGAAGCAGCATTATTTGTTAAAATTGATAGCAAAGCTATCTGTAAAAATGTCTTTTACTATATTTATAGGCAGAAATTAGAGAAAAGTTAGAAATTAATAAACTAAGAGAAGTTGCAGTTTGGTTTAAATCTGTGAAAATTTACAAAGTCTACATTGACTGCCATTTTTCCTAGCATATTTATATAAATAGTTCAGACACAATGGCTTGCTTTGTGTTAGCCAGCTAAGCATTTAGAAAGAGATTATTGCTCATTGAATAGTGCAATACTAAGGAAGAGAACAATCAAAAGTGTTTATTTGAAACCATTCCATATTCGACCATTGGAAAAGAGACAAGTATCAAGAAATCATTGTTTCTTGAACTAACTTAATTCTGCTTCATGGTCTTCCAATATGAATTGCAATCCAATTTTAATTTTAAAAACTATTTTTAAAGCCATTTTGTGTCTACTGTAGTTTTAAAGTCTACTTGTACTGCAAGGTGTCTGTCACACATCTCCCTTGCCTACTCATAGACATATAAGCACAGTACCACATTTTTTTGCCCTGTTCTATGCTTTGAGCTGAAATTGCCAAGTTTCCTAATGAGCCTCAAAGTATACTTTTGCTTAGGAGGCATTTTAAGTGTTAAATACTATTCTGACTGAATAGTGAAGAATTTTTAAAAACATTTAGTTATCTAGATTTCATTGGGGCTTTTTTGGTTGGTTTTCTTTTTTTTTTTTTTTTTTTTTTTTTTTTTTTTTTTTTTTACTATCATATACTATGGTCTAATTCTTCATATATTTTACTACATCTCAGTTTTTTCCTGCTCTGTTGCAGGCTTGACATAACCTTCCACCCAGATACTTTTCAAGGCCAACACTTGCACTTTGTGTGAATTTCAAGTGTTTTATTTGGGAAATACTTGTGTCTCAAGCTCAGGCATTCATCAGGTGAATCACATCCTTCTACTTCAAAATTTTTGTTTCAGACTTTTAGTCCAGTTTTTGTACTTAAATATTCCTCAATTCATGCAAGATAAGATTAATTTCATCTAACTTCCTGTATTTAAAGTGTAAGGTTATCATGCAGATTAATTGTATTTAAAAATACATATCTGTGAATGAGGATTTTTTGTATCCTAAGATCTTTACTGATTTCTAGAAAAGATATTAGCAAATACTTTAGAGTTTAATCTTTTAAATGGTCACAGTGAAATGATTTGACTTCTGCACTCAGAATAGATATTGGCTAAAGGGCCATATGGATGAAATAATTCATCAAAAACATTCTCATTTTCAATTTTAATTACCGTTCTTAATAAAACAGAACCTGTTTCAAACAGCTAAAACCTTTTCTAAATATCTGAGCAGTGTGGATATTAATATTCAGGTATGTTTGAAGATTTAGATCAAATCACAGTAAACACAAAGAACCAGAATTTAAAAAGAATGCCAGCAGCTTTGCATTGTGCCATTGCTTGTCTGCAGAGACATATATAGAATTTCTCTTAACTGGGTGTTGACAGTAAAAATGGGATGACAAAGGTCATTAGGTTTTCCTAAAATATGAGTCACGTTTCTTTCTGCAGACTCTCCGCTGTAGTTAGTTGAGGTATAGAATCTCCTATTTACATTTGTAACATTGTCTCTGTTGTGTGCTTGAGAAATGCATGTGAGAAAGAGAAGCGTAATAAACCCTGGACTGGCAGATATTCCCAGAGATACACAAAGCCTGTGAACTGGAGCCAGCAGGAAAAGCAAGCACTTCAGCTGAAGCCCTTTTTTCCTTTGCACACATGAACATAAATGCATGAACACACACACACAGACACACACAGAGTCTTCTTCACTAAATGCATTTAATCAACCTTTAAAAACAACATAAAACACTCACTTCTGCAGTTCTCTTTTAATAATTTTACTAAAACAGTGTAGCAGTGAATGTTACTCAAAAGATACTGGATTTGTCTTTTTTGAACTTAGTGGACTTTTGCAAAAGCTTCAGCATCACACAGCAGTGCATTTACTAAAACAGTGTAGCAGTGAATGTTACTCAAAAGATACTGGATTTGTCTTTTTTGAACTTAGTGGACTTTTGCAAAAGCTTCAGCATCACACAGCAGTGCATTTACTAAAACAGTGTAGCAGTGAATGTTACTCAAAAGATACTGGATTTGTCTTTTTTGAACTTAGTGGACTTTTGCAAAAGCTTCAGCATCACACAGCAGTGCATTATTTAGTGACCTTCTGACTGATAAGACCTTCTTGTGATCACGGAAATTTATTTAGTTCTGTTGGTATATGTGTGGTTCAACACTCTGACTTCTTCAGGCACTACCTGAAGAATACTAAGCAGCTTCAGGAGAGTATGATACAGTGTGAATACCTTTTAAGGTACTAGTGATGCTGGGAAATTTTAAACCAAATCATTAACATTAGATTTATTTCCTTTTCAAATTATAATTTGAAATTTTAAAAAGTGAAATCTCGTACTCTGCAACAGTTTCTAGTCTACTGTTTCATTTTGTTCCAACAGTTTTTCTATTTGTCTTTGCAAAATTTGACTAATATCTTCCAAAAGTACATTAGGCAATATGTCTGTCATGCTGTCTCCTCTCATCTCTTGACAAATATAAATGTTTGTGTGCAAACAATCTTTGCTTAATTAAGAGGAAACATAGTTATTCTTCTGTGTTTGCAAAAGATTTATTTCTATTAAGAAATTAAAATTCTTTCTTGTTATTCCAAAGGTAAAAGTACTTCACTTCTTTGGCTTATTCAAAAAGGCAATTGTGAATAAGAAAGTGAGTTCTCAGTATTAATTTTATTTGGTTTATATTTTTCCCATTAGATATATCAGGACTACACTTAAAATTTGTTGATTTTGAAATTTTCTATTTAATTATGCAAAACACTGTTGTTTCTGTACTGATTATAAACTAAAGGTGGCATTTTTAATAGATTTACCGTGTGGTTAAAAGTAAAATGGTATTACAAGAACAGCAGCACTTGGTAACAGGATCTTGTATTTTTTGCCAACTGTGACTTCTCCCTGCCCTGATACTTTCTGACATTTTTAATTTGGAAGGGAATATATTGGTTGTCCTATGTTTGTAACAGTAGAGTGAGACTAGCAAAGCTACCAACCATCTTCAGTGTTTATTGAGTAATAAATAATGTCTAAACTTGGAAATAGGAAATTTCCTGCACGAAATAAGGGACAGAGGAATTCAGGAGACATAGTTTTCTTGCACCTTAGGATTTAATATACACTGGTTTTTTTGCAGCCCTAACATTGTATGACCTTAAAAAAAGCATGCAAATTTTGCTGCACTGTCGTTCTTGTTTACTCCTGTTGTGACCATCTTCAAATGGTTTGGTCAGAAATCAGTGATAATATTATTTTTCTCCACAACATTTTTTCCCACAATGAGACCTCAGGTTCCCTTACAGTCAGTTTCCACAAAAGCACAACATTCAGGTTTCTGGGATTGAGTAGGTAGCACTGGCTGTTGTATTTTTCATAATAAATCATTTAAAAGCAGACTGAGTTGGGGGGAGATGGGGGTGGAAGAAAAAATAAGAATAAAAAAAAGGTTCTTGGCTTCCATCAGATAGAAGCTTGATATTTTCATGTAAGTGAATATATCAGTTTCTGGTGTAAGCATTATTTATGTACACAAGTGGAAAACTTAAAATATTTGAGGTAATCCTGCATTTCACAATATTGGCCAAAGTGGCATTATGCTAAAACACTGGTCTGGAACAACACAACCACCAGCTTCCTCCCAGCACATTAAACCAATAAATGCATCTATAAGTCAGTGTGCTAGAGTTAGTTACTTTTCTGCTTGGTGGACGAATGCTCTGGTTGTGCTCAGATTAGAGGCGACAAGCTGTAGCATCCATTTCTGACAAACTGGGTCAGGGATATGCAGACCCTGGGTACAGGGCACATGTACCCCTGGGTACAGGGCACATGCAAACCAAACACAAATACCTGTTTCCTGAGAGTCATGGATATGAAACTGGGGAACACCTTTGCCGTGTAGTAGGAACTGAGTTCCATCTGAGATCTTATTTGTAGCTCTGCATTTTAAAAAGCACTTTATGTGGTAGTGTGCTATGCCCCAAAGTGAATTGTGATGGTTTAAAACATGTCTATACATGTGTGTGTGTATGTGTTCCCTTTTGGTTAACAAATGCTTACAGACAATAAAGACACAAAACTCAAGACTGTATTTGAAACACAAATGTATGCTTAATTTGGTACCGAAATCAATTAAACCAAATACTTAAGATCAAGATGTGTATGATGTATTAATATATTTCCATGTATATTTCTGTTTGTATACAGAAAAAAATAATGTGTTATGTCTACATAAGCACTTATTTCCCTACTGTCCTGTGCCAATTTTATAAAATCACTTAGTGGAAGTTGTGTTCAGCTGGTATGTAATATCAGGTTGCCCAGCAAATTATTTATTCAGGTTGTTCCACTGGTCTTGCCTACTCTTTTCCATTGCTAGTGTGGCTTGATTCTCAACTATTCTACATTCTAAGTCAGAAATGCTTACACTGCGTTTATTATAGATCAACAGGAATGTTGATTTTATTGTAAGTAATGTGCTTTCCATGACTGTTCTTTGGTTTAAAGTAGCTGTTATTTGTCACACTGACAGGTACACCTACTGCGAAATGCTGGCGATGAAGTTACCATCACAGTTCAATACCTCAGGGAAGCTCCATCATTTTTAAAGCTCCCATTAGGTAAGAGGAAATTAGTGAATGGGAGTAATTTGTTTTCCTCTTTGCAGTATTCTTGTAATAAGCTGACAGTGACAGAAATAGAAATTCAATTCTTGAGTGCTTTACAGGAAGAAATAGAAAATTATCTGTCTACTTTACTGTTTAACATATAAGAATCAAATGCATACTGCCTTGCTGCTTATGTATAATTTATTCAAAATAAAACTGAAAAAATATCATTAAAATGCAGTACAGTCATGGGTGATAGCTGAAAGTTTTTCAATAGAAGCTTTGCCTGAATACAATAAAATAGTGTTTGCAAACATTTGAATCATACATTTACACTGAAAGGTACTTTGAAGGCACTTACCAAATAAATGGATAACATTAATTATGTATGTTTCAAAATTACTTTTCTATTTTGATTGGTTTTGTCAGCAGAATTATGTCGAGAAAACTGAGTAGTTTAACAGTAGCAATACTAAAGATTGTATGAACAATACAGATCAGGGAAGTTTGGGGCTCTTTGGATAAAATATTCAAGTTGCACAGTTGTGATTGCAAGTAGAAAAGTGTTCATAATAAATCAGTTTATTTAATCAGATTAAATGATTTTGCACCATTTTATTTTAACAGATTATTTTCTCTCCAAAATAAGCAAAAAGTTTTGAAATGTGTCTTGTTCTTTGGATTGATTTAGATTTTATTTATTTAAGTTGCACTCAGCTATGTACTTGTTTTTTTTCTAATTTCAGCAGACTCATAGATGTCATAGTTTAGACCTTGCCATTAAAAGAGTGTCAGTCATTTAATCTAGATTTTTATACCTTTCAAAAGCCAATTTGGCAGGCCTCTACTAAGCTGAACTATACATTTCATGCTAGAACCTTTCTTTCAGTGTTTTCTTGTTGTCATTGTGATTTGAAAATATATGGTCAGTGTTTCTTATAATGAGTCTTCAGGTATGGTCTTCCTATTTTTCCTACTAGATCATCAGACAACTCTAAAATTGCGTTGACTGTGGCTTGGATAACTGTGTCAAAGTTATCCATGATTTTGGGCAAATTAGCAACATCTTACCAGTGGTGTCTGTGTTGTTGGGCAAATTTATTTGTGACTATGACAGTGCTGCTAGAACTTGTATCTCATCTTGTAGACTGACATCACATACTTGAACTGTACTGCCTGTTGTTGGTTAACCTTAGCTAAGTGCCAAACTCCCACTCAGACACTCTCTCACTCCCTGTTCTCAAACAGAACGTGGTGTACAAATAGAACAAAAAAGCTCTTAGGTCAAAAGAGATTAGCTACTAATTACCATCATGGCCAAAGGAGAGGCAATGAGGAGAAACTTAGATAAATTTATTGCCTATTAAAATAGATTCAGGCAATGAGAAACAAAGACAAATAAATTGTCCATCGCCTTTTTCATTGACCTTGAGCTTAATTTGATTTTTGTGTCACTCTTTTCCTTCCTATTGTATCTGCCCTTCTGCATTTACCCTTTGTTAAATAGTTTCCCAGAGGTGCTACCAGCTCAGCTGCATGGCCCAGTAGTAATGTGGGATCTGGCTGGATCTGTGTGTTTCTGGCACAGGGCAGCCCCAACCATTTCCCACTCCTGGAAACATCCCAGCCCATCAGCCCTTGCCACTAAGGCCTAGTACACGCTCTACACAAGCTGGCTGCCACCTTCACAAGTAGTTCATGTAAGTCCAGCAATATTGGTGCCTCTTTGTATGTCATGGGGAGCTTGGCTTTCTCACCAGGAGATACTGCAGCTTCATTGTCTGGGTGGCTGACATCATGGCACTGCTTCCATAAAGTGCTATTTCTGGAAACAGAAAGCAGTTATCATCAGGGAGGCCATCTCCTATCTCAATGTAACCAGCTAGCAGTTTTTGAGGTCTGCCCCTGATTACTGTTCAAAGAAAATCTTTTCTGGAACAGCAATGACAGTGCCATTTTAGACAAGCTACCAGACTGTTAAGGAGCGCAGCAGTGCTTCTGAGATGGGACATCTTGTGCACAAACTGCTTATTTTGGGCAGCTTATCAGACTTGCTTCCTTTATGCAGAGCATGTGGAAATTTTTGGCAAGTATTATACTACCCTCCCTGGTCCCATGCATGACCTTATACCACATGCTCAAAAAAAACCAAAAAAAAACCTGCTAGGTATGATCAGACATGTAAGGAGCTTAAGAACCAAACCTGGACCTCCACAAGAGCTTACATGCGCCTCTCTAGAATGTTCTGTGTAGCGATTCAAACGAGGCTGAAACTAAGGTTTGTGAGTCAAGTGATCTTTGGTAAATGGCTTGCTATAAATATTCATTCTTGTAGTAAGAAAATAAGCAAATAAGATGGATAAAATTATGGAAAATAGTTCTGATTTAATACAATAAACAAACTGGAGTTACAGAGAATAGTAATGGAGTTACAGAGAATAGCACCCCATTTCACGAAAAACTTTTCACAAGTTTTTTCCATGCACAAAAGAGAATTCCAGTCATGAAGCATCAATGACACATTTAGAAAGCTAAGTAGCAATTCCATTATGCAATAAAGAAATTCCCAAATCACACTGCAGGCAGTATTTAAGTGCATACATGCATGATTCTGAAGTATCTTGGCTACTCTGGCCATCCCAGAAGACTCAGGCACTTGGTCCCCTACCTTCCAGCATTCAGTCAGACCAGCTGCTGTGCTGGCAGCTTTAGTGCTGTGGTGTGTTCATTTTAACTGCAATTATACTGTCTCTTTACATCAACCCATATCATCACTGTGAGCACATCATCAGGAGTTGCATCTGCCTCCCCTTCTTCCTTCTCATACATCTCCCTTCCCTACAACATCTCAGGTCATGGCAAAAGTACAAGATGCCATAACAGGGAAATATCTACCTACAGTTCTCACGACATTTTTTTATCTGTTCCACTTCTTTGTTATTGCCAACAAAAAAACCCAGAATTTGACAAGAATTTTACATGGGTTTATTTGTAGATACTGATTCAGTATTGCTTAAGGATGAGACAAGAACTACTTGTTTTGAATGTCTCATTCTCAGTGGAAAAAGGCTTAATCCTGCTAACAGTTAAGCATACAAATAGATCCCATGAGCACAACCCCTCTCAGATGACATCTTGAAACTTTTTTTATTTCTAGACATTAAATATAGCATGTGGATATTTAATTGTCTGTCTTTCTAAAATACAAGTAGCATTTCTGTCTTGGTTTGGGGAATTATATTAAAAATTCTTCCTGTGTTTTACAGATGGAATAGATATTGTCTGATATATACATATATTTTTAACATCAGCAGGTATTTTTCTTGAACTGATTTCCAGGTTCCCCTGGACCATCCAGTGATCACAGCAGTGGAACTTCATCACCCCTCTTTGACAGTGGCTTACATTTAAATGGAAACTCAACTAACACGGTATGCAAATGAATAATAAAAGCAGGGTGGGTGTGAGCTCTATAAGTTCTTTTCCCTTTTTGAGCTTCAAAATGCTAGAGTAAGACTAACCTAGTTGTTTTATTGTTGTTGTTTGCTTTGATCGATTTTTAAGTGCTTATACTGTAAAATTCTGTACTTACAAAGTCCACAACACATGACCCTGAACTGCTAGGTTTTTACTCTGAGACAGCTGAGACATTTGGAAGAGTGAGCACAGTAAGATTTAATCATTATTTAGACATGAATTCATGTGAACTTTTGTCATACTTTGTTGCATTATACTGTTTAATTCAGCTGGAGATGCTGAAATGCAGGTGAAATTAAGAAAATAATGTAAAGTTGAATTCTTGAAGGAAACTTTTTTTAATAGGAAAGATAGGGAGAGAAAGAACTAAAAGAGGAAGAAAAATCTCTTTTTTTAACCCAGAGGATATTCAGTTCTTTTTTCTGCAGTGAACAACTGTGATTAAATTAATTGCAGCATTGTGGGGAAAGAAAATAAGTCCTTTTCTCCAGGAAAAGTGGTAGTTACCAAAGAGCATAGGATGTCTTAGTAAGCAACAGTGCTGTCCTTTTAGTAATGAAGATTGAAGATGTAAAAACTAGCTGTACAAAGACATGGACCTTCATGCTCAAAACCTGTTCAACACCTAACAAATCTCAGCTCTAGTCTTTCAGTTGGATATTTAATTATACAGAAAGAGTACCCTGAATGAATCCCATTTACCCTGAATGGACAGAAGGCTTCTCCTCTCTTTTCCTTTTTCTTCTTAGACAGTGATATAATTGTCTGATGCTTACTGTACTTCTCTCAAGCTTTGCACTTCTTTGAGCACTGTCTCTCTATACTGCTCCTTAAAGCTTGTTTTCATCGGTTAAAAATATGTCCATAAATGATAGCATAAGGGCATAGTGTACAATAAATAAATAAATAAATAGAAATATGCTTCTGTGCTGATACTTGTACTGCAGTGTTTGGTGTCCACAATGGTCATAGATACAAACGCTTTCATGTTTATTTGCTTGCAGTTATCCAGATGATTATTAATTTGAACTGCCTTGTACTGTTGTCTTACTAAACAATCCAAACTTCAGGATCCAGCATTCTGCAATGCCTGTCTATGAGGTTCTCTGCAGGCAAAGAAAGTCCTGTCTGCAAGGAGCTTACATTATAAGAAAAGGGCTATGGCAGTGATTGCATTAGGACATTTTAGTAAATTAGCACCTACTAAATACTAGAATGAGTGTGTTGTGATGATTTTTAAGAATCATTGTGACTACTGTGGGAATTGCACACTTGTAACTTCTCATAAGTGGCTGGAGTTTTGTAGACCTGTAACAGAGTAATTTAGAGTTAGCACACAAAATAGCGCACAAAAGACTGCGTATAGGCTTGAAATATAAGCAGAAAAACAAAAATTAAAAAGGTGAAATAGTAAGGTGCTAAGTTGATTTTATACAGCACTTAATTTTTCTGAAGCCTGACATAAATTCACATGAAGAGCTATGTATAAAATAGACACTATGACCTAGAAGTGGAATAAACAGGACAATCTACATCATAGATCGTAAAAGTCATGCTCTCCCTTCACAGAAAACAAAATAAAAAAATGCTAGAATCTTATTGTGAAACTCAAAAGCATGGCCCTATGTATTTTGAGCAGAAATGACTGGATTTTGAGATGACGCACTGTATGATTAAACTTTTCTCAAGCTGTGAGTGTAAGTGAGCTGTGATCATATCTTGAAAAGTGGTTATGAACGTGTTTCACTTACCATCTAGTGAGCACTTCTATTTTATTCAATTAAATATTTTCAGTTTTATGGTAAAGTAAAAGCAGAACTCACATTTCCTGTAATGCTAGTGCCTAATAAAACTAATGATATTTGAATCCTGTTTTTACATCATCTTGGCTGGGGAGATCTGACTCACTTTGAAGACAGCATCTTGCAAATTTGTGTTGTAGCTTTATGCACCTTCCTAACCACACTCAGATCCATGCCATAATACACAATGCACCTATATTTCTAAGTGGAAATTCTACTCCAAAAACCACACCATGTAAAGGACAGGAGAGGAATGAGAGCTAAGGAATTACTCTTGCTCCAGTTTTACCGAGCTGTCGTTTTGGATGTCTTCTGAAAAACAATACTGAGGCACTACAGCTGGCTTGTAGCATAGAGGCAGTAGTTTAGCCATCTTAGCAGCAAAACCTTTCAGCCTAATAGGATTGTACTATTTTCAGTTCTGGTGCTGTCTTGCCTCTGTTAGACCTATCTCTGTCACCTCTGCTGTGAAGCATCTGCTGTATGTGATGTGATAGCATCTTCAGGATTTATACACATCTTTTGTAATATCAGAGCAGTTTGCAGTACAGCATTTTAACGTGGTTCTCTGAAACCCAGAGAAATGAGCTGAAGTGCTCTCTTCACACCTGATTATTTTGTGCTTGGGCACTACTGTGACAAATTCTGCAGGGATTGATGGTGGCAGTCACATTCATCTGTACCTTATAGGTGGTTTATTGAATACAATGTGAACTTCCAGAGAGCAGTATGCAACATACAAAGGAGGTGGTCTCAAGGCTAGTGAGTACAGGTTGTTTACCTGGAGAGTTCTAACTCTAGAACAATGAAAAAGTGCTGTAGAGCTATCCTACCAGATGTCCAAATATCCTAGACATCCAGGCCAGCTCTCTGGAGAAATTAGTGGTGGAAAAAAAAAATACTGTAAATAAAACAAATTACTGTTTAAGACACCATGGGATAATATGACAGTTACAATGCAAAGGCAGAATATAATAGGTTTTCATTTGTTTGAGAATCTGGCTTCCTGGAATTGTCTAAAAGTGATGTTCTAACAAGTGAAGCTAGACCAGAGTAAATTGTTGTTTTCCATGTGTTCGTGTAATTTGAGAACTCTAATTTTGATAGTGTATGTTAAGGTTAGTTGGTTAGATGAAGCTAAACAGGCACTTACATTTTTCTAAATTGCTTTAAAATATTTTTCCTTGATGCCTTTGTTTTATCTGCTAAATTAAATTTTGCTTTAAGTTTTGCTTTAAAAAAGACATTTTCTACTTCATCATCAAGTTTCTAAAAAAGAAAAAATACAAATGCTCAGCTCTTGATGGGATAGTAGAATGCTACATCTTCAATGTCTATGGTAGTCCTAGTTCCAGAGTGAGAGAATGATACGACTCAATCCCAAGCACTAAATGGCAAAAAGGAAGAGGATTCAAGACAGGGAGGTGCACACCCTTGGGGAATGTATGACCAGAACACTGAATTGAGATTGAATTGATGTCCTACATATTAAAGCTTCAATACTCTTGCTTTTTTGAATATTCCTGTAGTGTCTTCCATTTTCATATAAACACCCCATTCTTAAAGCTTATTTTATTCTTTGGTTTTTGTCATCCTGTACCTTGCTTTAAGAAGAGAAACTTCAGAATTTCAGTTCAGTATCTTTTCTATTGGCATGATTTCATGTGTGATACCTGTTGCCTCTTCTAACTCTTGATCTGAAAATCCCTGATTTTCTCATGTAGTATGAAAGCAAGGTAACTCTGAATTGACTTCCAGTTCACAGTGTATCATTTGGCAATGTAAATTCATAAAATGGATAATGAAAAAAATACAAAAAAGTCTCATGTAGAGGTACACAATGATTACTGTCATTAATTGTCACCATGTCTTCCATTTTTTGCTGAAGAGAAAGGTAAAATGGAATAAACACAGCCAGTAGTTTGGACTTCTGTGCTGAAGACCTTTATGAAATGAGATGAACACACCGCAAAGAAGTTTTCCTCAATTAATAAAATATGAAATTACTATCCCTTTTCTACCTCAGTGAAAGATAATCCAGATTTTCTGTTCCTGACTATACCTCTCAGAAATCCTAGCAATAGAAGCCGGAAGAAAACTTTTAAATAACACCTTCCTACTTCACTACAACAGAATTATAAGGAAAATCTTTTGGATTTACAAGGTTTGTTTAGATTTAGCTGTACAGAAGTGCTGTATTTTTCTAATTGTGATTAGAGTTGATTGGCACTTTCACTATGACATAAATGAAGTGAATTAAAAGTATCCTTACAAGTCTTATCTTTCCTTTTATTAATGCCCACAGTCACTGCTAATCCTTTTAGCAGAGTTATTTCTTCCAGTATTTAACATTTGATTGATCAGCTTGATTGTTTCTTCTGCACAGAAATTCCCCAGTTTGTTAGGTATCTGGTTTTAGTTCTTACTTATATATATTTTCCCCATACACAGCCCTTGCATGTGAATACATTTTTTTTTACAGTTCTTATGAATTTGCTCATTTCAAGCAAATTTTCAGCAGCAGCAGCAAAAAGGAAAATGTTTCTAAATTTGATGTTAGCATCAGGAAGTTCAGGTACATGTGAAATTATAGAGGAAACTGAGAGTGAAATTGAGGTAACAAGTTTTCCCTCTAAGCTGCATTCAGTGTCTTTCCACAAGCTCCGGCAACAAATTGACACTGATGTCAGAGAGAGAAGCAAGAGTCAAAGCTCAAATTTATCCTGAGGGGTGTGCAGACTGTGTGAAATTCAAAGAGTCTCCCTAACCTTGAGCTAATTTTTGTAAGCAAGGACATCATGCCTCATTTGGGGATATGAAAGGCTGCCAAAAGCTGCGTCTAACGGCTGAAGTTTGAGTACACTTGCATTTCTAGTGTAAAACTATAACTATCTCAACATTGTATCTTTTCCTTATATACATTTAATGTTGGGTTTTGATTTCTGACTGCTACTGTAGTTTTTGAGCAGTCATAATTACTTTCTACTTTTTGTGCTGAGGTTTAATATAAACTACTCTGGTCCCTGTCCCCTACATCCAAAGGAAGAATATATCTGGAAAGGTGTTCCAGGCGAGGTTGTTGAGGTTACTCAGAAACCAATTACATACTAGCTCAAGGGAAACAAATTAAAGAAAAATGTGCAAGATTCTGA